GAATGACATTCTCCAGGGACATCCATGTTGCTGCAAATGGCGTTATGTTGTCATTTTTATGGCTGAATAGTATTCCATTGTATAAATATACATCTTCTTTATCCAGTCATCTGTCGATGGGGAAACCTAAATCTTTTATAATGGATCATAAGCATGCCTGCCTTTTGCTCTAGAGAGAGACTAATTCTGTCTTCCAGGGATGTTCTATATAAACATATTGGAGGAATAATCCAGAATTATAGCACTTAGTGTCTCTGATCTCACAAGAAGCTCAGAAACATTCAAGACTCATGGAGAATTGTCTCCCTTCAGGTCTGGCCACTTCCTTATTTGCAACTCTTTTCTCCAACAGTGAGAAACTTGCTTCTTAGTATCAATGATTTTTTTTTTTGCACATATCCTATAATGCATGTAAAGTAGTTTGCAGAATTGCTAACCCATACTCATGTAAAAAACAAATGTACTGGCTATAGTAAAGTATTTGTGTGCAACGTTTTTCTTTAACCTAACCTTAATACAGTTGAAAACTGTTTCCAAAGTTACTTCACCAGCCTCTTCAGTGTAGTTTTGTTACTAATTTTTCCTACACTTCACTTGGTGTGTTACACTTTGGGTTCCCCCATATTCTGGTTGAATGTAATATGCCATAATATTTTGAATATGAAAACATTAACAAGTTTCCTGTCCACTCCCTGTACCTAATCAACCTCATTACTTTCTGCTTTATCCTTCTGGTATTTCCTTTGCACAAAGGAGCAAATACAGGTATTCTTTTGAATGACCTCTTTTTTGCATTAAAGATAGCACACTCTAGAAACTCTTTTGAACATTTCTTTTTTCACTTAATGTTATATCCTGGACATTATTCTACTAGAATTCAAAAAGATACTAATAATTCTTTTTTTCGTGGCTACATAATATTCCACTATATGGATTTATCATGGTTTATTCAACCACTCGCCTACTATGGGTGTTTAGGTCATTTATAGTAATTTACTACTAGAAATAGTGCTGCAATAAATAACTTTGTATACATGTATTTTTATATTGCTGGAGGTGTATCTTCAGAATAGATTCCTAGAAGTATGATTGCTGGGTCCAAAGGTAAGCATGTGTGCAGTTTTGTTAGGTATTGCTAAATTCTCCTCTAGAGCTGCTGTACCAGTTTTCATTTCCACTTGCAATGTATGAGTGCCTCTTTCTGCCCACCGCCTAGCCAGCAGAATGTGTTGGCATGCATCCTTTTTAGCTTTTACCAATCTAATATATGGAACATAGTATTTCGGTGTTGTTCTCTAATTTCATTAATTATGACTGTGCTTGAACATTTTAGAATCTTTTTTTGTGTGTGTGATTGCCTATTTCTATCTTTCCTCATCTTTCTAGCAGTTTTTTTTTAACCCCTTGTATTTTATGATTAGTGGCTTTTAATATCTTGAAAAGAAATCTTTGCTTATTCCCAAGGTTCTTGAAGATACTCTCCTGGGTTTTTTGGGAAGCTTTTTAGATTTAACATTCACTTTTAACTCTGTGACCCATATTTCAATTTTTGTGTATGGTGAGAGGTAAGGATAAAGGTTAACTTTTTTTTTCCATTCAAATACCCAGCTGTTCCACCACTGTTTAATTAAAAGCCTTTGTCAGAAATCAGGTGATATTATATATGTAGTTCTCTTTCTGAACTGTGTTCTTTTTTATTTACTTGTCTTTTTGTCAGGATCACTATTGAAATCTATAGTATTAATCCTTCGAATCTTTTTCTTCTTTTTCAAGACTGTCATGGCTAATGTAAGTCCTTTCAATTTCCTGTTGCTGTTAGAATCAACTTGTTAATTCTCATCAAAAAAGAAAAATCCTTGCTGGGATTTTGTTTGTATATTTATATGTTAATTTGAGGAGAACTGACATCAATATTGAATCTTCCAATTATTAAACATGGTGTATATCTAAATTTGTTAAGGTCTTTAATTTCTCTCTGCAATTTGTTATAATTTTCAGTGCACATCTTTTGTTAGATTTATACCTGGTATTTGACATTTGTTGTTGAAACTATAAATAGTATATAAACTTTCCAGTCGCTACTAGAAGTACAATTGCTTTTTGTATTTGTCCTTCTATTTAACATCTACAAAAGCACCTATTGCAGATGCTGTTTATCAGGTTACGGGAGATTTTCCCTCATTTGCTAAGACATTTTTACACTATTTTACATTAATGAGGGCTGAATTTAGATAAATGTGTTTTCTGTGTCTACGAAAGGATCAAATAGTTTTTCTTTTATTTATTATTAATATAGTAAATTATTATGTTGATTTTTCAAATGTTGAACCAGCCTTTTATTCCTGAAATAAACTCTACTTGGCCATAATGCATTACATTTTTTCCCCTAGAGGGTTAAATTTGTTAATACTTTATGTAGAATTTCTGCATGTGTGTTCACGAGAACTATTGGTCCATAATTTTTTTTTTATGTTTTTGTTAAGTTCTGGTGTCAGGTTTGTAGAAGCCTTATAAAATGAATTGGGAAGAATTCCCTGTGTTCTGTTTTTCAGTGCATGTAAAACTAACGTTATTCCTTAACTTTGGAAGAATTCACTGGTGAAGCTATGAGGCCTGAAATTTTCTTGATAAGGTTATAAATTATGGAATCAATTTAACTCTTCAGCTGTTCTGTTGTTTTTATTTGTTTTGTCAGTTTGGGCTTTATTTTTCTTTAAAGGAATTTGTTTCATCTAAGCTTTCAAACTTAAGAATATAAAGTTGTCAGTATTGTCTTATTATTTTTTTAATGTCTGTGGTGTCTGTAATGATGTTCCCTTTTTCATTCCTGGTTTTGTTCATTTACGTTATCCCTCCCTTTTTTCATCAGTGCTGTTGGTAGTAAATCTTGTATTTCTCTGGGTACTTTCAAGATTTTTTTCCTTTCTCTTCGGTTTTCAGCTGTTTGACTCTGATATACTTGATTGTGGTTTTGCTTTTGTTGTGTGCTTGTTTTGTTTACTTTCTTATATATTATTCTTTAGGTTTGCTGAGCTTCTTGCAATTCTCGTTGAGTCTTAGTTAATTAATCTATTGAAGTATTAATTCCTCTCCGATCCCTTTATTTCCTTCTGAGACTCCACATACATATATGGTAGATCTTTTGACTGTGTTCATATGTCTTTTACACTCACTTCTTTTTTTCTCTGCGCTTCAAGTGGAAGTTTTTTTTGTTGGCTTGTCTTTGAGTTCAGTAATCCTGTCTCCTGCTTGTCTGATCTCAAAATTAGCAATGATTTCTTTATTTCTTAATTTGCTGAACTAGATTGTCTATTTCATTCTTTTTTATTGATTTCAATTCTGTTTATTTTCTTCATCTTACCATCCATTTGCCTATCTTTTCTTTGGTTGTCTTTAAAATTTTAATTGTGGCTATTTTAAAGTATGTGTTTGCCAACTCCAGTATCTGAATTGTCTATGGTTCTGCTTCTCTTTTCTGTTTCTATCTCCTTGCTTGTCTAGTAAGCTTTAATTGTATGATAGATATTGTGTCTAAAACAACTGTGGGGGCCAAAGCCTACTTCTAGCCTCCTCGTTATACAAGAAAAATTAAACTGCTTTTCAGGTCTCTGTTACTAACAGACAAATACAATTCCTGGCACATAGGAAATTTTCAGGGTAATGCCAGAAATAAATTAAAACATTACATTTTTTTAATTTAAAAAGGTAGATTTATTATTTAGAAGAGTACAAAATTCTCAAGTTTTAAATTACTTACTAGACTTTAAAAGACTCTCTTCTCTATAGTGGTATATTTTGGCAGTGCTCCACACCCCAGCTGTGGTCATGTTGTAAGCATACAGAGATTGTTGGCTTTAAAAGGGAGGAGCAGATCCCTCAGATGCAAGATTTCAGCCTAGGGAGGATACCATCTAGTGTCAGAGATGAAGAATCTAGTGTCAGAGATGAAGAGGGTTGGGAATGTGACAAACATAGTATGGAGCTATGAAAGTAAGAATGTTTCCTGCCCATTCTGCTTGGAAGGTACAGCATTTGAAGATGTCCCTTTAACCAGCGAAAGGCCAGGAGGAGAGACCAGAATGGGGGACTTAAAAGTGAGGAGTATAGGAGAAGGAATTTTTTTCAAGTCTTTGAGGATGACTGTTGATTCTTTAGTATCTGGCACATAGTAGGCTATGTTGATAAAAGAATACTAAGTCTTTAATAAGTAGTAATACTAATTATAATAAAGGAATGTTTTCAGGTTTTAAGGAAGAGGCATTTGTGGATTACTTTGATTTTCATTTCCTGCAATAGTTTACCTGTAGGGGAATGCAGTGATTAACTAGGGGTAGAAGTAGCCATTAAATAATTGATAACCTGGTAACATGGTGTTACTTTCTGAGTGTTCAGTTTTACATGAAATTATTGATAAATTATTTAATGATCAAGGAGCTTTGTATATAGAAATGCTCACTACCCTTTATACTTTTATGATGCTCAGTTTATTACATTCCTATATCCAGTAAACAAAAAAACCCACAAATTTTCTTAAATATTTAAACATCAATCACAAATTCACTTATCCCCCTTAAACAATTTAGACTTCTATTAGTTAACTTATTCTTTTGGACATTTTAAACATCTTAGGAAGCACACAGAATATACACAATTGTTCCAAATTTTATTATCACACTTACAGTCAAAAGCTATTCTAAAGCATCAGTGGGGTCTAGTCTATTTCTACATTATTTTAACTCTTTTCGAATTCTTTCCTATTCTTACACTAATTTTAATATCTTCCCAAAGTTTCCATAAAATTACTTTTTTACTTTTCTGGGTTTCAGTTTTCTTAAGGCAAGACTCATTAACCCCAAAAGTCTTCTCAAACGAGGCAAGATTAGAGGATCTGGTTCATCAACAAGATGTTTCTTGGTCAGGACTTGGGACCTGACTGTACAACCCAAGATCATTGAAAATTGGTTTGACCAATGTATATCCAAACTAAAAGGCATATGATCAACTTTTAGGAATTATTGGCAGCAGATCAGTTGAATAAATTAAAGTTTATCCATTTAATGGAATACAGTGTGGCTAAGAGAATTACATAACTCTGAATGTACTAGTTGGGATCTGGTCCAAGATCTATTAAGTAAAAATAGCAGTGTGTATAACATTATATATAATATGCTACAATTTGTATTTTTTAAAAGTATGCCTTTGTGTGTATATGTATATATACAAACTATATTCTCTAAGCCATATCAAGTTGTACAAATCCTGGTCCAGTCAAAGTCTAAGGTTTCTGGAGAAGGGGATAATGAGAGATTCACCCATTTTTCTAATAACCCTCAAGGGTTTGTGTGGAGTGCACAGAGGGGAAACAATCATTCTGGGAGTCATGAGGGGCATAGGATCTTACATAGCTTCTTTTTGCCTCCCCCAGCTCTGCCTTTTTCCGTAAGAGGAGCCCAGAGGAGGACTCAATATCAAAGCCATGGCTCAGGTAAGATGCTGTTTCTTTTTGCTCAGAGTCATTTTTATTCCTAGTACATTTAAATATTTGCTTTCCTCATCATGATGCTTTTTGGTGTTTAAAAAAACAACAGCTTTCAGACAGTTTAGTTACAAGCAGTGCCAAAGTTCTCTTACCCTTGCTTTAAAGAAAAAGATCTCTAATGAACCAATTCAAAAATTTCTCTCTTGGTGAAGATATTTCTAGAAAAAAGAAGTGGTTAGGTAATCATCATTGAAAAAAAGGAAAGGATGTCTGGTTAAAGATCTTTACACTCATAAATTACAGATAAATGTTAAGAGGGCTAAGGGGTCATGTAACAAGTTTGTCTGAAAAGGTCTTAATCAGATTAAAATCCATTAGAAAATTACATATGGATTTTATCAAGAATCCTTATTTTTTCCCACAAATTGTGAACTACACAATATAAAAACAGTCTGACTGAGACCAGGTTTGGAAAAAAATTTTTTATGTGGGTTAACTTGGTTCCCCTTCAGGAACCCGAACCCTGTTTCCTCCTAAACAACCCAGTGCCCTCCACAGTTCCCCCTTTCTTCTTTTAAACAATGTTTACAGACTCATTTAGTAAGTCCTTCAGCATCTTCTATCCCCGACTTCTGTCAGAAATCTCAGCGGAATAGAAATGTGATTTCCGTTTGTTAATGCATCTAATTTGCTTGGACAGTGATTTGATGGAGTGGAGATGAGTCATTAGGGGCACATTGTGGGTCAAAGCCCTGATCATCTCCACAGACCTGTCTTCCAGTCAGAAAATGGAATGATTTTGTTTGATTTCATCCTTAATACACAGAAAGATCTGGTGTATAAGCCTTATAGGTTTTGGGGGTATGACTGCTGATCAGTACAAAGCTCTGACACCCCACCATCATCCTTGATGGTAGACTTCAGTAATGCCATATGTGAAACTGGATCATGCTGCATCATTTCAAGTAGCTCAGAAACAAAGGGAGTTTACAGTTGAGCAATGGGCGGTTTTAGGTAAGATTGGGCCAATGTTGGGAAGGTCTTTAAAGGTCACCTTCAGCCTCAATGTCTGAAAGCAAAAGAGAAGTTGTCATTTATATCCATGTAATAGAAGATTATTCAGTGCAAAACATATGCTTATGAAAAGAATTTGGTATAACAAGGAGTAACACTTATTATATAATAGTGTGGCATTACGATGGATCAGTCTTGAATGATACGCAAATTTAATTTTCCAAGATAAAATATTTTTTAAAGTCATCTTGTACATGTGCACGAGTGAAATAGTACTTTCAGTCTTGCGCCACCACTAGTTCCACTCCCAAAAGGTAGCTGCCGTCAACTCTTGAATACTGATGAGTCGATTTTCCTCATTATTCCTTGACTTACTGCTGAGTGGACAGGACATTATACTCCTGTGCGTCATCCTTCCTTTCCTCTTCTTCTGTCATTCATCCTTATATCACAGTTTTTGGTTAATTCAGTAATACATACATTCTTATGGTTGCAAATACCACTCACTGCTGAGTCAACTCATGGCTTTTTTCTGTTACAGCCTTTCATTTTTCCGGGGGTTAACTGCTCCCCCCCATTTGCTTAGCTGTCCATGTACTTATGTGCAGAATCTCCAGAATCACTGCCACATGCCAGCTGATACGTTTTCCGTCTGGTCAAACACATCAATTCTGTTTGAACATGGAGACTTCTGTACCTGTTTCCTTTTCACCCTGCTCCCCATCTGGTCTAGTTACTCTCTAGGCCTATTTCTCTGAGACGTCCCTTTCTTTTTCCTGGGAGTTTCCTTCACTGTTCTTCTGTGTTAATTCACCTATTTCTTGAATCCCATGTCTTCCTCTTTTCTGGTTTACTCTTCAATTTCGGTGGAGCACAACCTCTGATAGTTCCCTAAGAAATTGTGCTTGAGTCCTTTAATGTCTAGGCATGCCTTTTTTCAGTTGTCACAACAGAATGATGGTTTGGTTATAGAATTCTAGGTCAGAATTTCTTCTCAGCATATTGAAGAATTGGTCCTAACCATTTCTTGTTATCAGTGATTTTCTTAAGAGCCCCATCGCCTTTCTGATTCTTGATATCTTTTATCTGACCTATTCTCTAGATGCTTTTAATGTCTTTATCCCTTTTTCTGAAATTTTACCATTAGCTATTTTGGAAAAGAGGAAAGAGACTCAACATATATTCGTAACATATTATAAGCGTGTGCTAGGTGTTTGTATACATTATTTCATTTAATTGGGAAACTCCTCTTACCTGGATTTTGTACTTCCCCAGTCTTGTTTGGGTAAGGGAAGTGTCCCACTCTACACAGGCAGTTTTGCCCTGGGGGAAGCAGAATGACATGCAAGCACAGTGATTCAGTCCTGCTTATCTGTTTACAGTCTTCCACTTGTATCTCAGACATTCAGCCCCACTCTGTATGCTTCTGTTTTCACTTCTCGTACACTTTTATTTTTTTTTCTCTTTCCTTCACAAAACACTTTTTTGTTAATCAAACCTAATTTTTAAAAATTTAACATGGTTGTTGTTCCAGGGGTCAGTGATGTTCAGTGATGTGTCCATAGACTTCTCTCAGGAGGAGTGGGAATGCCTGAATGATGATCAGAGAGATTTATACAGAGATGTGATGTTGGAGAATTACAGCAACCTGGTTTCAATGGGTAAGGACATCTGTCCATGATAATTCAGATTCAGCCCTCAGAAGGTTTGCTTCCTCTGGTGTTACACTCACGTGCCTTTCAAGTAACCATTTGGCTTTCTACATCCTGTTCCCAGGGGAATGTTTTTAATATCGTAAAGTTAGAAAGAGGAAGCTGCACTGAGTTATGAAGGAAGTTTCAAGTCCTCTTATATTTTCATAAATCTGATGTATCTTTCCTTAACTCTTTTTTAATAATGGAGGGACTGGATTTGAATTCTGGGACATTCTCATCATAAACTTATCTCGTTACTTCTTTTGTAAGCAGGACATTGTATTTCTAAACCAGATGTGATCTCCTTCTTGGAGCAGGGGAAGGAGCCCTGGTTGGTTGACAGAGAACCAACAAGATACCAGTGGCCAGGTAAGTGAGGCACAGCAGGTAATGACCCAATTGGTCAGTGGAAAGACTGCCCCTTTGAGATGCAGTCTGGGAAGCTCCCCTTAAAAACTTTAGGCCTACTGTGCAGAAGTAAGCCTTTCCAGCATGACCTTTCAAATGACCTTACCTTTTCTCCTTACTTCACACTTTGCCTGCTTTTCTGCTCTTATACTTTTGTCCCAATTCTAACCAGCTGGTGCCCTCCTCCACCCTCTCTAATAGTACTCCTCTCTATCCATAATTTGGATCTACTCCCTTATCAGCTTCTCATCCTCTTTTGTATTTAGTCCTTTAAAAACTATCACTGTCTCTTGAAATTTTTTTTTCTACATTACCAAAGGCTTATTTTCTTTAAGGTTTTTAAGATACAGTAGTTCATACACTCATTGATTCATTCATACTTTTAGTCAACATTTACTGAATAGTCTAGTGTGTGAGGTACTCTGATTGATACTGAAGAGATTAAAAAATGAATAAGCAATTTCATAGTTCAATCGGGGTACTATACACAACTTCTAAAAAGTAGAACCACCATAAGAGAGGTTAAAATAGGGAGCTCAGCAGAAAGTGAGGGCTAAAGAAGTAGAAGAGGAGTTAATCCACATAGAGGCCATAGAGGGAGATTCGAGCACGTGTGTCATTGACTGTATATAGAATGTTAGCGAAAAAAAGGTCTGTGCCTCCAGTGAGAACTTGGAGCTGGCAAAGATAAAGAGGTCTGGTACAAAGGAGGAGAAACGGGACAGCACGTTCATTCATTCAGTATATGTCCATTGAGTACCTGCTGCATGCCCGGCACTGTTCTCAACACCAAGGTTACAGCAGTGAATAGAATCTGTTCCCAGAGCTTACCCTCCAGTGCAGGGAGAGATACACAAATAAATGAATATATAATATATCCTATAATAGTGAAAAAGAAAAACAAAGTGGAGAAAAGGGATGGAGGGTGCTATTTTATGTGACATGATTAGAGAAGCTTTTTCCAATAAGGTGACGTTTGGGCAGAGATCTGAAGAAGTACAGCAGTGAACCATTGTATATGATTACTGGGAGGAAGAACATGCCAGAGAAGAAGGAAGCCAAACATTTGAGGGCCCGAGGCAGATGTGCATTAGCTGTGTTTGAGGAGCAGCCAGGCGGCCAGTACTTCATCTGCCCCAGTTGTTACTGTTCAGTATTTCTAAATGAATCCAAGACCTCGGGTTATTTCACCTTTGCATTACCTCAAAATGTAATTTAAAAAATATGGACATTTTCTTCCTTACATAATGTGAATGCCTTATCATCCTGAAGAAATCTTACGATGATTTCTTGGTACACTGGATTGTTTTAGCATCGTTCTTTTGAGGACTAGTGAGAGTAGACATTTTCACCTTAATGGTGCTCTTGTCTTTTAACTTGTTCCCTACTATATTTTATACTTTTTTAATCGATTACTGTAATTTTTCAGTCAATTTTTATGGACTTTATGAAATAAAACATATATTTACCCATTTCCAGGGGGTGCTTTTACTTTTTAAATTTTAATTTGGATTGGCATCTTTAAGTGTATGTTTTAATGTGTTTGTATTCAGTTCTTTTGTGGTTATTACTATTTCTGATTTTAGAAAATTAAGTGGCCTCCACAAATTTTATAGGTGTTCTGTTATTTTTAAAAATTTTTTCTGCTATTTTGATAGCATTTAAATCCATTTTAAAGTTCTTTTACAGTAAGCTGTAATTGAGAGTGCAAATCAATTACCTGTGCCCCCCCCCAACTCCTCGCATATCCTATTTTAGCACCATTTATTCAACAGCTGCTTATTTCATCATTGTTTTATCTGCCTATTCAGTAATAAGTTCTGATTTATGTTAGTTTGTATTTCAGGGCTTCTTTTTCTATTTCTCTGATCCATCTATCCACTTGTACCTGTAGAGATAGATAAGCCCAGAAGTGAGTATATTTTCATTCTTTTTATTGGAAATTATCACAAGTACAGAAAAGTAACAAACTGTAGGCAGATATTTAAATTCATGGAACCATCACCCAGCTCAAAACTATAACACTGTCAGCACAGATCTCTCTGTGTCCCCTTATACTTTTACTACCTAAGAGAGCGACCTGCAACAATATAGGTTAGTTTTAACTGAGTCTGAAATTTACATACATAGAATCATACTATATATATTCTTTTATGTTGCTTTTTTAACTGAGCATTTTGCTTTTAAGATTTCATACATATTATTTCTTATAGTCAGAGTTGATTCTTTCAATTAGATGAATATACCACAGTTTATCAGTTCTACTTTTCATAGGCAGTTAGGTTGTTTTTGACAGTTACAAATAGCTACTATGAACATTTTCTGTGTTACTTGAATAGAAGAGAAATGAATAGATCATAAGACATCATATCTTTAGCTGTCTGATGTTTAGCTTTTCTTTTTTGGTGGGGGTAATTATTTATTTTTAGAGGAGGAACTGGGCATTGAACCTAGGACCTTGTGTATGTTAAGCATGTGCTCTACCACTGAATATACCCTCCCCCCCAGCTTTTCTTTAATGCCTACACTAGTCTACAGTCTCACCAGCAGTATATAGGCACTCCTATTGTTGCACATGCTTCCTAATATAAGGAATTGTCACACTTAGATTTCTACCAATTGGTTAGCGTACAGTGATACTGCAATGTGGTTTTAGTTTGCATTTCCCTTTTTACTAATGAGGTTGAACACACTTTCATTATCATTATTGGTCTTTTGAAATTCTTCTTTAGTGGATTGTCTGTTCAAGTGTTTTTTACCTGTTGGATTGCCTGTATTTTCTTAGTGATGGCTCTTTACTTATTTTGCATATGAATATATTCCATGTTCTAAAAATTGCAAATATCTTCTTCTACTCTGAATTGTCTTTTAGCTCTCTATGGTTTCTTTTTGTTTACAGAAGTTCTTCATTTTTATCAGATTTATCAGTCTTCTCTTTTGTGCTTTATGCTTGTTGGGTCTTATGTAAGAAATTCTTCCTTGGCCTATTTTTGAATCTTTAACATAAACAAAATCACACTATCTGTACTTTGTGTTCTGTTTAAGAAATCTTTACTTACCATAAGACCATGAAGTGAAGATATTCTCCTATGTTTTCTCCTTCATGTATGATTGTTATTCCTTTATGAACTTTTCTTCTAATGGGCTAAATTTTTACTGTAATATATTCAGATGTGGTTACCTTTATTCCTTCATATTTTGCTTCTGGTTGTATTTTTCAACCTGAGCACTTATATCTTTTTCTGGTGATAGGAAAGCCTTGGCAGTCATCTCTTCAAATACTATCTTGCTACATTTCCTCTCTTCTCTCTTAAGCTCCTGTAAACAGACCTTAGAACATCTGGATCATCTCCAGTGTCTTTTACTCTTCATCTCTGTTTCCATTTATACTGCCTTTATATTGAATTCTTTGCCTTGATTTGTGTTGATTCACCAGTATATTCTTCAGTTTTGACTTTTTGGCTCTTCAACCTATCCATTAAGTTTTTTATTTAAAAAAATAGTATAGTTATTTGTGAAATATAATCCATACACAATAGGATATATAACAGATAATTAACATAAATTATAGCATAATAACATGTAAACCTCTAGATTTGCATATGCAAGAGATTTGCTAGGAAATACACCTAGGAATAAAATTGCTGGGTCTTGGCGTACATTCTTTCCCTGCCTGCCACCTTTATTTATTTATTTACTTATTTATTTATTTAATTATTTGAAATCCCCACCTTTAAAGAGTGTTTTTTTTTTAATTAAACCTTTTTAAAGGTGCTTTAAAAAAAATGAGCTAACATGTTGGATCCTGTTATCTCCAGATAGTCACTTCAGGTCTCCATTCCACTTAGTTTGTATAGACACATAGCCAAAAAAAGAGGGTACAGGCTTTTGGAGATTTGTCTGAGAATTTAGTGGACATTAATACATACCAGACAGGCCATGTGGCCCAACTGGTTTTACATTGGCATACATTCTTATTCAGCTTTACCAGGTAATGCCAAACTGTTCTCCAAGTGTTTGTTATCACCATCTTTCCCAGTAATTGATATTGTAAGTTTTTTTCACTTTTTAACAATCTGATTGGTGAGTATAAAATCTTTTTTTTAAATAAAATCTTCTTTCATTGTTTTCAATTAAATTTTCCTGGTTACTGTTGAAGATAATTACATTTCTACGTTTGGCCATTAGTATCTCTTCTGCGTAATGCCATTTTGATCATGTTTGTATTAGGCTGTTTGTTTCCTAAAATTTGTAGGAACTTCTTATGTATTTTCTTGGTACTAATTTTGGTCAGTAACATGTTTTATAGACATGTTTTCCAGTTGTAGCTTATTTATTCACTTTATGATAGCTTTTGGTGAACAGTAATTCTTTGTGTTAGTTAGTATGGTTAAATTATATATTTAATGGTTAAATTATACATAGTTTATAAAAAATTCTACTTTTTTCCTGTATGTTTCACACCTGTGGGGTCTTAAGAACTTTTTCCTAGCCTAATTTTCTCCTTTTTTGTCTTCCAAGAATTTTTATGTTTTGACTTTCTTATAAAAGCCCTATTAATATAACTAGAATTGATTTTCATGAGTGGTGTGAGAGCAGTTATAATATTTTCTCCATACAGGGAACATATTATCTTTGCTCCACTGCTTTCCACTGATCCATGGTGCTCTTTCTGTCATATGTTAAAATTCCACATATACATAGGTCATTCATTCCATTGGCCTTTTTATCTATCCCTGTCATAATTACTCTTGCTTTTATAAAAAGTCCTGACCTCTAGTGGGACAGATCCCTCCACCTTTTTCTTCAGAAGTATTTGGTTATACTTGACTTTTAGGTCTTCCATATATATTTTTAAATTACAATAAATAAAATTTTATTTAAAATGTTGACTTTTTTTCAACATCCATTCATGATCAAAGCTCAGAAAAGAGGGAATATACCTCAGCATATTAAAGGCC